TGCCCAGGGTGAGGCCTCCTCTGCAGGGTCTCACGGGTGCCTTCTCCTGCCTTTTCCTGGAGCCATATCTAACGACTTTAAAATGTTAACCCTGGGTCTGTTCTGGTGAACTTCATCAATGTTTGTAACATCCTGGAAATTATTTATTCCAAGAAGCTGGAAATAAAAAAAGATCTTCCCAGATTTCTGAAAATGGGGTGGATCCTGACCTACATTCAGTGTTCTAGATTGAAATCACAGATTTTGGATAGAGAAAAAAAAATATTCTCTGCAATCTAATAAAACCAACTTTTTTTTTTTTTTTTTTTTTTTTTGAGACAGAGTCTTGCTCCATGGCCCAGGCTAGAGTGCAGTAGCACGATCTCGGCTTGCTGCAACCTCTGCCTGTCGGGTTCAACCGATTCTCCTGCCTCCTGTCTCCTGCCCCAGCCTCTCAAGTAGCAGGGATTACAGGCATGTGCCATGATGCCCAGCTAGTTTTTTGTATTTTTAGTAGAGATGGGGTCTTGCCATGTTGCCCAGGCTGGACTTGAACTCCTGACCTCAGGTGATCAGGCCATCTTGGCCTCCCAAAGTGTTGGGATTACAGGCGTGAGCCATCCTGCCTGGCCAAAACCAGCATATTTTATGGATAGGAAATTGAGGCTTAGATGGGGGGAGAAAAACATTACACAGATTAAACCACAGCTAATGTCAAGTGGTGACCAAAGGCGAATCTTTTATTGCAGGCTGTGGGTTTTTCCATGTGGCTGGTGGTACACTGCACCAAGCAGCACACACACTAGGCCAGTTTCCTTTGCAGACCCAGTTGCAATCCCATCTCTAAGCCAGGATACTATTAGGTCTCAACAACCTATGGGAATTTAGGGTGCTCACAGTTTAGGCTGGGAAGAGGTGACTAAGCTCCTTGGTCTAAGGTCTATGCAACTGGCCACTCACTCTGGACCAGGGACATTCAATGCCAGACAGCGGTAGGGCTGGTCTGGGGTGACAAGCCAGATCCTGGGCAAAGCAGCCTTTCTGCTAAGGGTTCCCTGGCAGAGCACGACGATGGCCACTTGGGAATGTGATCTGACAGTGACAGACGTCTTCTTCCAAAGCCCATTCCTAGGGCCTGCCGTTTCCCCAGCACTGTGTCCCAGGAAGCCCCCTTGCTAGCCATCTTCATAAACGACTAAAACATGTTTTGGAAAGTAGTTTTTCTTGGTATTTAGTGTGTTGTTTACTCTCTTACTGTACTAATAATATGAATTGCTGAAGGCTTCCTGGAAATCAAAACTACAAATTAGAGAAAAATAGGGTTAGAGAAAATGTCTTTGATAGTCCACTTTGAAATTCAAATAATGATTTGAGAGGTTTAAGAATTATTATGTGAATAGATGGTAAAGTGACAGAATATTAATTATAGAATCTAGCCAGTGTATTTTTCATAATAAAATGTTGGAAAAAAGTATTATCACATTGTCTGTGGTTACCAATATCCAACAAGTTCATGGGCTCCTACCGCTGGATATAACAGCGAAAAGTCTTGAAACATAAATTAAATATGGAAATTAATAGGGAAAGATACATGACTCAATACATGATGGGGGATTTACTATGTGGAACAGACTCCATTTGGATCTTTTTTTACACCTTTAAAAAAAAAAAAAAAAAAGACACAGGGTCTTGCTCTGTTGCCTAGGCTGGAATGCAATAGCATAATCATAGCTACAGCCTCAAACTTCTGGGCTGAAGCGATCCTCCCACCTCAGCCTCCCAAGCAGCTAGGACTACAGACACATGCTACCATGCCTGGCTACTTTTTTAATTTTTTGGTAGAGGAGGGGTCTCACTATGTTACCCAGGCTGGTCTTGAACTCCTAGCCTCAAGTGATTTTTCCACCATAGCCCTACAAAGCACTAAGACTACAGGTGTGAGCCACTGGGCCTGGCCACATCTTACGTCTAATTTGGTGAGTTTAATGTTAAAAATGAAATTATTATTTTTTTAATTAGATGAATATTTTCTAACTTCTGGGTAGAAAGGAATTCCTAAGCCTGAGGTAACAGAAGTTATACAGGAAAAAAATAAAATCATTTACTCCACTACATAAAATATAAAGGTTCTCATGGGAACACATGGACACAGGGAGGGGAACATCACACACCAGAGCCTGTCAGTGGGTGAGGGGCTATGGGAGAGATAGTATTAGGAGAAATACCTAATGTAGATGACGGGTTGATGGCTGCAGCAAACCACCATGGCACGTGTATACCTATGTAACAAACTTGCACGTTCTACACATGTATCCCAGAACTTACAGTATTGTAATAATAATAATAATAATAAAGGTTCTGTATTTCCAATAAAGTGTAAGCAAAATTAAAAGTCAAAGAAGCTGGGAAAAATATTTACCTCAAATGTCTTACACACACACACACACCCCCTTATAAATATATCATAGAAACAGTCACACCCTAATAGAAAAGTTGATAATGGACATGAACAGAACATTTACAAAAGAAAACAGCAGGCTGATACACACATGAAGAAAGTTCAATGTTATTGGTAGAAATGAAAACATGCCACATGCCTGACACGGAGTGAACATTCATTAAATAGCTTCTGAATAGATGAACCAAAAAGAATGTAACCTTTTTGTCTAAAGATAAAAAAGAGAGAACACTCAATGCTGATGAAGATATGGAGAGAAGGACATTTCATACATTGCTAAAATGTGTAGAATTTGGTTCAAGCTTTCTAGAAAACAACTTAGCAAGGTATATCAAGAATCTTACACTTAACCTCCTTTTACCCAAGAAATTCACTGTAAGGAATCTCTCCTAAGGAAATCATTAAAAATATGCCCAAGATTCATGTATTAAAAGGTTAATTACTGTAATATAAAAAGTTTTTAAAAACTGGAAGCAAATTAGACACTCCCAAATTAGAGAATTAGCACCATTAGAAATATTTTAGAGGCATTTTAAAGCATAGGGAGAACATGCTTGTTTTAAAAGTGGGATTGAAAGTGTCTATACAGGCTGGGCATGGTGTCTTACACCTGTAATCCCAGCACTTTGGGAGGCTGAAGTGGGAGGATCACCTGAGGTCAGGAGTTCGAGACCAGTCTGACCAACAGGGTGAAACCCTGTCTCTACTGAAAATCAAAATTAACTGGTGTGGTGGCGCGTGCCTGTAATCCCAGCTAATTGGGAGGCTGAGGCAGAAGAATTGCTTGAACCCGGGAGGCAGAGGTTGCAGTGAGCCAAGATTGCGCCATTGCACTCCAGCTTGGACAACAAGAGTGAAACTCCATCTCATAAATACATGAATGAATGAATGAACCTCTACAGAATTATGCTGATTCTGCAAATTGTGTGTATGTAGGAAAGTGCTGGAAGGAAACATACAAAACCCTAATAGAGCTTTGAGGATTAGAGGTAATACGTGGAATCTAAAATAGTCAAATACAGTCCACAGAAACACAGTGGTGGTTGGGGGGGATGGGGAGATGTGGGTCAAAGGGTATAAAGCTGGAATGATGTCAGATGAATACATCTGCAGTACAGCATGAGGACCACAGTGAAGATACTGAATATTTCTAAGTATATTTTAGGTGGGCTTACCCAGGCACAAAAAGGTTAACTGTGAGATGGTACACTCATAGCTTGAGTGTAAGTTATTATTTTGCTATGCACATGTATCAAACCAGCAGGTTGACATTTTAAATATATACAATAAAAAAAGAGGTTTTATTACAAATGAGTAAGAATAAAATGAAAAACACCATATAAAAAATTAGAAGCGTGATCCCCTGCTTTGGAGATAGGTCTTCACTCAAGTCCTTGTCCACATGGCCCAACTCCCCATTGGCTCTGTCTCTGCCACGGACTCTGTCTCTGGGTACTGACATGTCTGAATGCCACCTGTCCCCCCTCACACCTGGGCTTCCTCTTGGACTGCATTTTGTGGTGAATGATGCCACTTGATAACACTGGCCACTCTGCCTGCATCACCCTCCCCCATTTCTCCCCCAAATCCATCACCATGTGTGTCCTGACCAAAGCTTTCCATTTGGTCCCCTTGCCTCGATGGCCTGTCCCCCACCCCCTCAAGTCACTCTCTTCACTGCAGCTCGCCTGGCCTTTCTGAAGCGCACATCTGACTTTGTCAGGCTTCTGGGTGGAAATCTTCAGGCTAGCAAGGCGCATCATTCGGACCTGTTCCAAGCACTGCCGAGTCTGCATCTCCCATCACCCCTTCCCCACACACACAGGTCTGTGCCTCTGGCCAGGCTGTCCCACCTGCCTCCCATCCAGCTAACTCGGCCAAGCCTGTCCATTGAGTCAATTGTGACTTCGCCTCCACTGGAAGCTGTGCGGGGTGGCGGTTGAGTGTCACAAGCCCTGCACATGCTGTTTTTATGCTCCCATGGCACTCATCACACACTGTGACTCTGTTTCTGTATCTTTGTCTCCTCTACCAGACCGTCAGCACCTAGCCAAGTAGGCACTAAGGGTTTGTAGAATGAATGAATACATGTTTCCACCACCCCAGGAGACTTAATCTGCTTTCATCCTGAAAGAGGTATCAAACCAAGATTTTGTAGCTTCCCCCAGTTAGCTGCTGAAGTATTTTATCATCCTCACAAGTGAGACAGTCATCCTTGTGTATTAATCACCCAGCAAATTCATGTATTATATGTTGCCTGTGATGACACTATCGCTGGTTTTATTTGAACTTACTTATTCCTGCTAAGTCTATCACAGGAACGTTACTCATATCACTAAACACAACAATCATCTCAAGTACTGAGCACCAGACAGTGTGGAAGGCCCCAGGAATATAAGGATAAACCAGATTGTTACTACTTAAAGGCCATTAGCAAGAAATCCTCTAGCCTTGTGTGGAATAAAACTCTCAATTGCCTTATCTTTTCCTGGAAGGGCGTGTAATTTCTGTTGCTTGTGTATCAGCTTTTCACAATTGTCCAAAATCTTTTTTCAAGTGTGACTCAAACAGGACACAATGATGAATCTGACGAACACTAAGTCTTGTTTTCTTACCCTTCTGTGTCATGCTTCTTTTAATATACCCAAGAATCATGACTATTTTTTTCCCACAACAGCCTCACAGCATTGACTTAAGTTTAGCTGATGAGTGATAAAGGCTGCATTTTTTTTTTTAAAAATGATGTTTCTTTTGTACTCAACCATGCTATTTTAAATCTATCACTACTACATTTCTTCTGCTAATGTAGAATCATTTTTATGCTTTGTTATAATTGTTATGAATTATACTTCTGGAGTTGAGATGATTTTGAGTCCTACCTAATGTGGTAGCGTGCACAATAGAAAAATGAAAAGAGATTTCCTAGTTTTATATTGTGCAAAAGGCATAGACAAATATACGTATGAAAACTCTGCCCAACTGCTTAATGTTCAGTCTCCAGCCCGCTACCTGAATTCACAACGTACTTTACAAATACGCGTGGCTAAATGTTGAGGGATTCTGGGCTATCAGTTTGGAGGCTCTGGTATTAACCATGCTCTTTATTTATTGTTAGTCATGTATTTTCCCCACCCTTTGTCTTTGGCTTTGCACCCCCACCTAGCAACCACAGTGACTTCTTTTTGACCTGGATGGCTCGTCTTTTTAAATAACAGTGTTTCCTGAGAAGCTTAAGAACAGCAGAGTCACAGTGAGGGTTTAGTCCAGGGCAGCCTTCTTCACGTGGGGTACATGGAGGTGCTTCTTTGGGTCTGTAAATGGGCAGGCAAATGTTTGCATACAGGTGTGGGAAAAGGATTCACGGCTTCCATCATAATCTCCAGGGGATCTAGCACCCTGGAAAGGTTAACAACTCTTAACTCCCAGGCATTCAGACACAGCACAGCATAGCACACTGAATAAACAGCCTCAGTATGCCTGACTCAACCTTTTACTAAGCCACCTCCCAAGAGAGCAAGGAATTCTCAGTAATTATATACCAACCATCTTCTGGAAGGCAACTACGCTCACCACTCTACCACCAACACGCCAAACATCCTTTGAATAATTAAGATCGTAATTTGAGGGTGTGATTTTGTTGCGGGGGGGGGGGGGGGGCAGTCCAGCATATGTGACATTATATAGAGGCCATAATCTAACACTTTAAATATCAAAGCTATCTTTTCTCAATTTCTGCTTTTATCCATGTTTAACATCCTTTCTTTGTCCTCTTCTGATACTTTTAGCTGATTTGATAACATTAGTTGAAAACCAAAACATCATGAATCACAAGTTTCTCTACATATTAACATTTTGTTAGTAGCTCAAAGCACAAGCCTTTCATTAACTGTTGATAATTATATTATTTTTGCCAGAATACACTGGTGCCTTGTATACTTGTGTTTAAATATTGCGTTACAAATATCATTTTGGTGTATGTATGTCAAAACCAAAACTGCCTTTATGTCAATATGCTGTAAAAATCTATCAGAATATATCTTAATTCTTAACTTTCATTGTTGTCTGTGGGTTGTCTTGTATAATTATTATCACATCTACAGTATTTTCTGTAGGTAAATATGAAATGTATTATAAATGTACCAGGGGGAAAATGCCCTTTAATAAGCCTTTCCCTAGACAAAGCACCATTTAGGCGTTTAGAAGCAAGAACTAGTGAAATCAGAAATTGCTGTCATACATACTCACCTGTGAATGGTCGTACAAAGGATCCCAAGCGCAGGACTTGTCCTGGAAGCAGAGGATCGGATTCCACCAGGAAAAGAGGCAAGTAGAAATGCCAAATGCCAGCGCTCCCTTTCCCCAGCTCATCTTATTTGTAGGCACTCAGATTTTGGAATCCTCCAGGACTAACAATAAAAACCACACTAGGTTGTTTTCCTAATTCCTGTGAAATGAGTCAGTAGGTCAAACAACTTATCCACTCCAGAGAGAGAACAATTCCTTGAGCTACACTCCCTGTTTCCAGTAACCCTATTCCCTCTCTGTGTCCCTGGATAAAGTGCTGCCAACAATGCATGGAGAGCCCACCGGGTTCTGAATGAGACACATCGTAGAGATTGCCAGAAAGTTAGCTGCCTTCAAGGGATAGTTTCCCTTATGAATATTTAGGAAGAAAAAAGTCCAGTTAAGAGTAACATGAGGATCGAGTTTCTTCATTTAAAGAGTCAGCATAACTTTTTCTCTGTTGAGACTGTTTATTTCTTTCATACAGGAGGACAGAATGATGCTGAAAATAAATATAGAAAAGCGATAACTGTACCTTTAAAAGCCCCTACAAACCACTTCCTTCTGTAAAACACCCTTTCCTCCTCCAAAGGTGTAGTATATTCACAAGATTCACTGATTATTCAATGAATCCATATTCTTAAAAACCCTTCACAGCCGTCTGTGCGTCCTACAGTTCCATGCTCTGTATCATATAAAGCAGAAGGTATTTAAGAGCTTGCTAGCCATCATTTAAATCCATGACTCAAGACGACCAACACTGGGTTACCAATAATCTTCAGAAGCTACCACCTACTCACCGAGTGTAACATTTCTTGTAGTGAGCGACCTCTGCATAGGAAATCACCAGCTCCTGGCAACGAATCCATACTTCGAAGAACTCACACATTCAGGCAAATATATGGACATACATCTCTAAATATAGATACAGAGAGGTCTGCCGTGACAATTCAGTAGGAGACTGGAAATACTTTTGCTTTCTGTATCGATAGTACTTTCTTTCCTTTTTAAAGAGAAGGTTTCGTTTTGATCTTGAGAAATTCTGATAAAACCACCAACTGAAAACCTGCCATTATAAAGGAGGGATTTCACAACGTTCATTCCAAAAAACTGTGGCTATTCATTTCTGGAAGTGATTCACTGCAGAAGAATCGCTGTTTGGGGGTGGAGGGAGCATTGATTTTTAGAAGCCAGCCTGCCCTCTGAGAAGTGAGCAGGAACCTCCGAGATGGCAGCCACGTGCCTTCTGACCCCCAGCCCTGCTCCCTGAATCACCACCCCTCGAGATGACATGCAGTGACCAATTTCCTCTTAAAACTGCCTTCTGTACAAAAACCCTATGATCCACGCACCCTGTGTCTAATCCTCTGCAATGGGGCCAGTCTGCAGATCTGTCTGGGCGGCTGCGGTAGCATTCTCCACCTGCCAACACTCAGTTGCTGGTGAGTAACCAGCATACGGACACTCACTTCCTGTGAGTATTTCTGAAAGAGCTTATGATATTTCCTTTTTAAAATAAAAAAAAAAAAAAAAAAAGGAGGAAAGCCACTCAGGGAGGAGAAGCAACTTCAACAAGCAAAGCTAAAAGCATGCAACGTGATCACTGTTGACCAGACACGCCTAATTTTAATTTGGTTTCTCAACCCCTGTGTAATTAAGACAGCCCAAAGAGAACAGCATCAAGGGGTGGGGGGGGGGAAAAAAGACATTTCACAAATGCTTAGACCTTCGGCGCGCGTGACCAGAAAAGTAATTTTAAGATTCAAGCGAACCAATCTGAGGCTGGTTGGAGCATTAACCCTTCAAGGAAAGAGAAAGAGTTATGTTTGTTTGTCCCCAAATTTCAAATACGGAATTCATCTTCCTTACCAGGAACTGAGATGCCAAAAATCAGCCTCTAAATATCATCCCCTGGGGTTGTGAGATGGAAAAACTGTTTCAGATTTGTCCATCACAGGGGCAGAAAAATACCTATTTATGAGACCCAGCCACATTAACAGAACAGCCGACATGGTGTTCACACTCAGGCACCCCTTTGAAAACCGGCCACTAAGGCTCAAATGTGACATTTTGTATTTCTCTAGGCTGTAGCCAAACCTGTTAATTTATGTCAGAGAGAAGAGCAGCATTTCTTGACAACTGGGCAAAATGAGTAAGAAAAATTGCTTTCATCCCACCTGACAGCGTATCAGTGGTGACAAAGCTCACTTTCTGAGATTGGTAGGTGTTTTGCTGAAAGAAAGATTTTTCAGAGCCTGTCCTTCAGCTTCAGGCTGTGAATGTGCTTCCCAACTTGGGGCCTCCATGTGCCACATGGTGGGGAGGGGGCCTCTTGATGGAGGAGGGAGGAAAATATAAACTTCTACTTAATGGGCACTGAAAAATAAAACAAATCACCCAAATTCACACCTGTATTTATCACACAATCCATGGAAGCCCTTAACCTGTAACACGGCAGCACTTTGCCACTTAGACCCCAACTCTTTTAGTTCACATTTTTGGATACTCAAGATAAATATGAAAAAAAAATATAAAAACATAATCTGTGATTTATACTCTGGAAGGGAATTTTCATTTTTTTTGAGATGGGGTCTCACTCTTGTCCCCCAGGTTGGAGTACAGTGGCGCGATCTTGGCTCACAGAAGCCTCAACTTCCTGGGATGTGATACGCTTTTATCATCTTTACCAAACTGATATTTTAACAAGAAGAGTATGGAAAGCATTTGCCTGATACACATAATTGATTGATGGATTTTAGAGGCAGGGTCTGACTTCATTTCATCTCAGCCTCCGGAGTAGCTGAAACTACAGGTAAGTGCCACCATACCCAGCTAATTTTTTTTGGTAGAGATGACGCCTTGCTCTGCTGCCCAGGGTGGTCTGTAACTCCTGGCCTTTAGCGACTCTCCCACCTTGGCCTCCTAGAGCACTGGGGTTACAGGCATGAACCACTGTGCCCAGCCTGCATGATGTAATCTCCAAACTGAGGGTAGATAAAAGGTAGCACCTATAACTAGAGGTAAATTTTTAATTTAAAACAACTACACTACACAATAGTCATCTCAGCCCTTGCCCATGAAACCTTATGAACCTCCTCAATAGAAAAATAGGAATATTCTGTGATAGGGTCAAAGGAACAGGAACCCTTTACATGGAGAGTACTTTTAAATAGCTACCATTTTTAAAAATCCCATTGATACCAAGCTCAGCAAAAGAGGCCTGACCACTACTCAGCAATTAGACTATCCACTCTTCTCTCTTACTCAGAAGGAAGCCTCCGTCTCCCACTATGTCAGGTATACACACAAGTTCCCAACTCTCCGTGTTTCTGTGCAATTTGTTCCTGTTTCAGACGGCTTTCCAGGAAAGTTCCTCTTAAGTCCTGGGTGGCCAATGCAGAGGTTTTAAAAAGAGGAAAAGTCGAGCAAAACAAAAAGATCATGAAATAGAAGCTTGGGGAGGGGGCAGCAAAGAGAACATGAATCTAACCGATGCAGCAGTTGCAAAAAAAGCTGCTATCCTTTAGAAACTCCTGTTAATTTGGGGACCTAAAGGGAGCTGTTTCTAAGGCTGGATATTGAGAATGTGATGAAACCATGGAGGCTGTCCAGGTCCTTGCTATGCTGTGGACACCTTTCAAGAGGTACAGAGTCCACCCTCTCCAAACAAAGTAAAACCCATGACAAATGACAAATGTCCTTCACGTTTAACATTTACTCAGTTCTCTTTTAAACAAAGAAATGGAGAGCGCTCTTTCGTGGCACTTGTATAGGCAGGGGAGAGAGTGGTCTCACAACCGAAGGGCACCAGCCACTGAGAAGTCCTAAGGCTGTGTTTGAGTTCTGGCTCATCTCTTTTGCTAATTTGTTCTTGCGCCTATCACCCAACCTCTCTAAGCCAGTTTCATCGTCAGTGACAACAGCACACTGACATGCAGGGCCGGCTCAGGAGCTACCACGAGCTGCACATCCGTCCATTTGTTTCATCTTCACAGCAGCCCTGGAGGTAAGTTCTATTTTTATCCTCATCCTACAGATAAGGAAACTGAGGCCCAGGGAGCTTAAGGACACGCCCGGGGTTACACCATCAGTAGGTGGTGGAGCCAGGATTCAGAGCCAGGAAGGCTTGACCTTGACTCCACACTCCAGAGCCTGCCCTCAGCATGTCTGCCAGTAACACCCGGGTTGGCTGCACAGCAAGGGAAACAGCATGTAAGAAACGACCTTAAAACCTACCAAGACCGTAAAAACACAAGATAGATTTTTAATCGTGTCACATGCAAATATATTCTCTGTAAAAATGTAATGAAGATTCAGGACAACTAAGCAGTGGTAACTCTGCTGATCCTGTGAAAACGGTTTCATATAACTTGCAAGTTACTTAGCTGCACAATGTGTGGTACTGAGTTGTAGAGGTAGACGGGATTCAGAGATCCTGTTTTCCATCAGGGTGGTTGGGTGAGGCTCCCAGACCCAGACCTGAAGTCTGAACCTTCATCCTTTCACTCCCAGCCCAATGATGTGCCACTGTGTCATAGCCACATGGTGGTTACGAATGCTTCTGGAACTCTACATTTTAATCTGCCAGGCATCCATCCATTCGCTCACATAATTCACGTGTGTGTAATAGTAACCTTCAGAAATGAATGTCACAATATTTTTCTCATTACAACATCTTCAGGCTTTAAGATGAAAAGGGTGAAGAAAGAAATCTTTTCTAAACCTTTTATTCCCACTATTTGCTTTTTTATTCAAGGAAAAACAGAGGCTCTGTTAAAATTCTGCTTACAATGAAGTGTAACTGAAGTTCTATCCAATTCTTTCCTCTTCTCTGTAAACTTGTTCACATGCAACAGCCTCTCTGATGTTAACAGGCTGTTCCTCCCAAGTGCCTGCACATCATGGCTACAGAAGTCACCGGAAGGAACTTGCCTCGGTGGCAGTTTGGAGGCTTCCCGGGTTTTAATGATGAAAAATAATTTGGTCATTTAAGACAGAGGCCCGCTCTGTTGCCCAGGCTGGAGTACAGTGGCGCGATCATAGCTCACTGCAGCCTCAAATTCCTCGGCTCAAGTGATCCTCCTGCCCCAGCTTCTTGAGTAGCTGGGACTACAGGCATGTGCCACCACATCTGGCTATTTCTTTTTTTTTAAATAGAGAAGGGGTCTTGCTGTGTTGCCCAGGCTGGTCTTGAACTCCTGGGTTTAAGCAATCCTTTCACCTCAGACCCCCAAAGCACTGGTTCACAGGTTCATAGGTATGAACTACCATGCCTAGCCTAGCTATTTACTCTTAAAGGAAAAAAATAATGTTTTATTTAGTGTTCCAGCCTTTCATGCTATTTACACTAAAGTTTGGCCTTATTATGTTTGCTTAGAATCTTTTAATGGGTTTACGTCGTGTTGGATCACATCAAAACACTTGAAAATACCTCTTTCTAAAACAAAGACATTCATTGACAAAAAGAAGTTAAGCAAAAAAGGAGACCAGCCAGGTATTTAGTTCCATTTAAGAGAGCAAAGGCGACTGTATGCAAGATTCTGGAAAATTTATGTTCGTTAAATTTATAAGCCAGCACTTTTTTCCCAAAGATTTATTTGGTGTGAAAAGTTACTTCCTGTACTGTAATCATAAAATCAAATGTTATTTACTCCTGTCATAACCGTTCACATACTTCCTGCCATAAAAATTTAAACCTGGCTAGAATATTAAATAAAACATGCAAAAAACTACAAGTTCAGGAAGTGACTGTATGTATTATATACATTAAGTTCATATTCCAATCTAAGAGCTGAATCACCCCTACTTAGGAAAACCAGTATTATGTTTTATCATCTGGGGTGACTAATCCCACAATGGCCCATGCAATGAACTTTAAGGGTAAAAAGGGCTTTCTCTTTTGCACTAAGCTCAGTCCCTAGTTTTGTGGGGGCTGTCAGGACGCCTTGCAGGTCTGCTGTGTATAGTGGGCTGAAATATACTGCACATGACCCAGGGTTACAATTGTAAAGATCCAAAGACTTACTTAGGGTAGATGTGCACACTTTAAATGCATGTGCATGTTTTTCTTTGATGCTTGCCTACTTCTAAAAGAAAACAAGCTTCTAAATGCTTAGGCTTCGGCATGTTGGGTAGGAAAATCAGAGCCAGTGTACACATCCAATGATAGAAGAAAGCGTGCGTGAACAGATTTGTTTACAAAACAGGGCCCAGCAAAGTCTGTTTCTCAGTGCCTCGGCAGGATCCATCCAACAAAACAAACACACAAACACACTGATCTAGGGAACTCGCTCTTCCTTCTGATGAAGGTGTAACAGTTTGTGATTATAACTGGGCAATAAGTTACAGCATAATCACGTGACCCAGGCTTGAATTGGAGATATGCCAACAAATCCAGTTTAACACAAGTGCGTGCAGCACACACACACACACACACACACACACACACAGAGTTATATGTAGTATAGTGGTTTCAGCTCTCCTTCTGTGGCATTAATCTCAAATCTGTATCTTTAATGGTAGCTACCTCTCCTACCTATATCTAACATATTTCTATCTGGATAGGGCAGACCCTTTAAGTTCATCATGAAGCAAAAAAACCAACACCATTCTATTGATTTTACTTTACTTAACTGTATAGCCATCTACCAGGGTTGAAAGTTTGGCCTCTGGACTCCCTTCTTCACTGAGCTGAGCTGAGGCCATTCTGTCACCAAGTCTAGTCAATACTTATTTTCAATGTCTGCTGCCTCCATCCTCTCCCTCCCATTCCCGTTTCCAGTCACCCAGGGTGCACCTTTCTCTCTATTCTTGGACAAGTAAGACAGCCTTTGTAATTGGTTCACTTGCCAATGAGCAACTGGGTGGTGAAGAAACAGCAGGCAGTAGGAAGGTTGGGTTCTAGGCTTAGCTATGCCAGAACCAAACTATCTGTTGCCAAGAAAGTACATCATATCCTTGGGCCTTAGTGTTCTCACCTATGCCATGAAAAAACTGCCTATCAAATGTTATTAGCTGATGCAGAGCATACAGTCACCAACTTGCTCTTCTAATATGTAGTAAAATTCATGTCGCTGCATTCCTCAAAATCTTTCTGTGACTTTGCAATGTCTAGAGGGTAAAACTTAAGCTCTCTAGCTTCTGGGTTTATATATAAATAATTAAACAAAATATGTGTAAAAGTCTCATATAAAATGTAAGATACCACACAAAAGCAGTAACAGCCCTAGTGAGGACAGGACTATTTCTTAAGCTCATGCACAGGGTACTACTCAGGGGTTTTATACATATGGGTTCTAATCCTCATGACCATGATGCAAGGTTGGTTTTATTACTCTACATAAAAGATCAAGAATCTTAGGTTCTGTGAAAGCACACCCAAGGTTATAGAACTCAGTGAAGTGTCAGGGGTGGCTTCCAAATCTACATGTGGTTGATTATCAAGCCCACTAAACCATACTGAGTACTTTAAATACAACATAATATTTGGCAGGGGGTGGGGAGTCATTACTTGAGTAATCATTATCTGAATCCCTGTAGTTACCAAGTTGCATAAGGGAAGCAAAGGTCATCATCCTATAAAAATACTGACAAATAAGGTGATCGCTTATTATTAGTCCTCATTAACATCAGCATCTATTCTTGCTCACTTTCTTGGCTGAATAATGTCATAGAATAAAATGAAAATCCAGTGCAGTTCACTTGTAAGGTGGAATTGCAGCTTTTCACACAGTTGATAAAAATGATACCAGCGAATTGCATGAGTCACATAGGATCACTGACAAATAAGGATGAAAGACAGTTTCAACAGTTAACAACCAAGGAAGAGAAAGTCCACAGAGGTGATTACAGGAGAGGTAGACTCTTCAAGAGAATGGTTTGTATATCAAAAGATTAAGAGAGGTCTTCCGGGAAATGCGAATGCTTGTACAAAAATCATCCTTTTTATATGATTCTGCTTTAGAAGTCAGCATTCAATTTTTCTTCTAAGAAATAACATGCTGTTGCATCATATCCCAAATTTCTATTATATAAAACTAACTAAGCTTCAACTTTTGTTTTAGTTTTCTCAGGACTTAGTCCCAGTAAGATCTTAAAAAAAAAAAAAGTGACTGTTTGTTTTTAAATGTTTGATTCAGTTTTAAGTCAATCCTCTTAAAATAGTAGTAGTGGTCCTGTATCAGTTATCTTCAGATAACAAGTACCTTTTGAAATGGTAGTAATAGGAAAAAAAAGAAGAAAATGATTAACTGATATGCAAATAGTAGGCAACAAGAAAGAACTAATTCTTCAGCCCACGATGGAAAGTAATGTCCTAGTTTTTCTCTCATTTCAAGATCTCAGGCTCACCCAGACCAAAGCACCCAGCAAGAAGCCTTGCTCATCACCCCCATGCCCCATTCCCACCACTGTGTCAATGCCAGTGTGGATATGGCATTTGTATGGTATTAGGCCAGACCCTGGGCATGTCTGACTGTCGAGGCAAAACTAGACGGCAGCCCTGTAGACCCTCAGTCTAAATCCTAACTTTACATAATTCACTCCATCCATTCTGTCTTTATCTAGACATCTGAAGATCTCCACCTTTTTTTCAGAAGACAAGAGTCAGGGACCTGGAAGAATTCGGTCCTATAATATCCCGCTTTTCAAAGGCACCCCTGTATCATGATCCTTCCTGACATATACCGGTGTATATATCGAATGGTTTTGGTTCCTGCAAATATTCTTCATCAAAGGTTCAGAGAAGGGCTATTTTGAGAAAGATTTAATGGGATTTGTAACATAAAACCTCAAATGCATATTGAGTTAACTAAGACAACTCTGGAACACAAAGTGCGGTGGTTATACCTTGCTTTTTCTGGTGACTATAATCAAATCCAAGAATCTAATAAAATAGTCCCTCATGCCAGAAAGAAACCCAAGAAGGTATGTCCTCAGAAAATGTAGTCTGAAGTTGGTCAATTCTAAGGCAGTCACTCTAAGTGATCACAACTTTCTTCGTGAGCTTTTGGCCTTGCAGGATGAATGTTTGCTACAGA